ACGTGATAACTTATTATTGGCATTGTCTATTATTGGCATATTTTCTTCCTGTTGCTTTGATGAAAACCTCAATACATTCTACATTAACATTAATATCACACACTAGTCTCGTGGTTGCTGAGACTAGTTGCTTGCTATCTTGTCTTTCCCGTTTTAAAAAGGAGGTAAGAGAAGTTGGCATCATTATACCAAATTTATACTTGTGGGAAAAAGGAAATCTTTGATTACTGATTGAAAACTTCCTAGAAACTTGGGCCAATCTAAAAAAATAAAAATAAACTGATTATATTTACATTAACTATGTGTAAAAGCCTAACTTTAATTTATGCCAGGTCTCATGAGTGCAACACAAATTTTAAATTTAAATATTTTTGTTCAATTAAAAACATATCTAAAAAAAACTAAAGGGGGTCAGGCTATGCTTTGTTTCTTATTTATTTATTTATTCGTTTATTTGATAGGGACAAGTATGTTTCATGCATCATGTCACACACTATAACATTTTAGCTAAGGCTAATTCTCAATGTCTGTCCCCAGTTAGGCTTTTACACAAGCACAGTAACTGTACACAAGAAGAACAGAGCAAATTACACATTAAAACATCACAGAAATAAAATCAGGTCAGTTAGGTTATTAATGTTCACATGACTGACCTCTCAATAAAAAGTCTTTAAGTTTATGTTTAAAAAGGACCCAGTTTGACTCTCCCTTCAGTTCTGCAGGTAATGTGTTCCATGTTTTGGTGCCTTGTACAATGAAAGCTGATTGACCGAAAGAGGTTTTGCGTCTGGGAACTTGACAGTTTCCACTGTGGGCTCCTCTTGTGACTGAGCCCACAGCTCTGAGAGGAACTACACAGTCACTCAAAACCTTAGGGGCCTTATCATGCAAGCATTTATATACCAGTTTTAACTGAGCAAATTTCACAAAGTTTTCGAAATTCAGCATTTTTAAATTGTTCAGACTAACACAGTGATGGGACCTGATTGGTTTTTTATCTAAGATTTTTATAGCTCTATTATAGATCATCTGAAGAGGCTTGATAGTAGTGCTTGTGGCCTGTGACCAAGAACTAATGCAGTAACTTAGATGTGAAAAGATCATGGAGTGCAGAAAACTGTGAGCAGCGTGAAACGGTAGGGAATCTCTAATCAGTTTGAATGTGTACAAGTTTGCTTTTGTCACTCTGGACACTTTTTTTACATGGCTGTCAAATTTCAATTGTGAGTCAAGTATTAGTCCTAGATACTTGATTTCTGAGACCTGCTGGATTCTAGCTCCATTTATCTGTAAATTTAGTTCTTGAGATATGAGCTTGGTCCTAGAAGAGAACCAGACAGACATAGTTTTTTTTTTAACATTCAGAGACAACCCTGCATTATGGAACCACACTGACACAGTTTTTAGATGTCCTGACAGTTCATTAGAAACTGCTTGCACAGTCTTTCCATGAACATAAATTACTGCATCGTCTGCATATAACTGAAAACCTGCTGTTGGACAAGACTCTGGCAAGTCATTAATGTATAATGTAAATAGTAGAGGGCCAAGGATGGATCCCTGTGGCACTCCTGTATTTATCTTTAAAAATTATGATTTTTCATTGTTTATTGTGACACACTGCTCTCTTCCTTCTAAGTAGGATTCAAACCACTGTAAAGTTTTCGGTGAAAATTTTAATTTGGATAATTTTGCAATTAGAATTTTATGATTTAACGTATCAAGTGCCTTTTTGAGATCCAAAAAGACTGCGCCTACTATTTCCCCGCTGTCTATTGCCAACTTTATTTGTTCAACAAAATAACAGTTTGCTGTATCCGTAGAATAATGAGGTCGGAAGCCAAACTGTAAAGGATGTAAGATTTTATGATACTGTATGTACGCCATTAACTGATTGGAGACTATTTTTTCTAACACCTTAGAAAATACAGGCAGGATGTTTATAGGCCGATAGTTACAGGCCTGGTCTTGGGATCCTGACTTAAAAATAGGCATAACTCTAGCCTGTTTCCAGGGTGCAGGGAATTGCCCGCTCTCAATGGACAAATTAATTACATGCGTTAGAGGTTTTATGAGTGCATTTTTGTTTCGCTTTACGAAAGCAGTATTAATGTGGGAGAGATCCATGCAATTGCTTTGTTTAATTGTATTTATGGCATCAAGCACAATAGATTCACTAGTCTTCTCTATGGAGAATGTTGTGCCTGATGTAACCTGTTGTTGAATTGGTCTTGTAAGGTTTCCAAAATCAAACTGTTGGACCAGCTCCTCCACAGATGACACAAAATAATTATTAAATTCCTGGGCTATTTGTTTAATGTCTCTTATCTGCTGGTCTCCAATTTTAAGCTCAAACATTTTTGTTGTACTCTGTGGTTTTACAATGCTATTTATTTGTTTCCACATTATAGATGGACTTCCTTTGGCTTCTGTTATTGTAGATATGTAATATTCTATTTTTGCCTTTCTTAAATTTTTTATGACACGATTTCTTAAACTTTTATATATGTTGATATCAGTATTCAATTTACTTTTAAGTGATTTCTTCAAAGCCATGTCTCTCTCTTTCATCAATCTCCTGATGTCACCATTAAGCCACGGTAAAGATCTTTTTTTTTAAATGTTTTTGTTTTTTGAGGAACTTAGAAATTACTTCTTCCAAACTACTTATTAATTCTTTGCAACAGTTGTGGACATCCTCATTTTCCAAAATATTGCTCCAACTGATGCCATTTAATTCATTGTCTAAAACAGGGAAATCGCGCTTAAAAATAGTTAATATATTTGATTTAATATTGTTAACATTTTGAAGGCGTTTTTTAGAAAGTTTTCTTGCTATCAAAATCATATTGTGGTCTGACAAACCGGTTAGAAAATTGTATGATTTTAATATTTGATCTTCTTTATTAGAGAATATTAAATCAATTTGGGTCTTTGAAGACTTTGAGATCCTTGTGGCACCTTTCATTATCTGGGTAAAATCAAACTTTGTCATTAGGGTCTTAAGTTTTTTCCTTTTGCTAGAATTAAGCCAGTCAATATTAAAATCACCCAGTATGATAACTTCTGACTTATGGGCAACCATTTTCAACAATTTATCTAGTTCACCATAAAACATTTCATTGCAAGAAGGGGGATTATATAAAACCACAATTAAAAAGTGCATGCTTGATGACAGTGATACTTCAACACAAATATGCTCAATGTTTACATCATGTTCAAAGGTGACTTCAGTGCACTTAAAAGAGTCTCTTAAGTAAATTGCCACTCCTCCTCCTTTGCCTGTTTTCCTATCAGTTCTATAAAGACTATATCCTGGAATATCAATTAGATTAGAGTGAATTTTACTGTTGAGCCATGTCTCACTTAAGGCTAAGAAGTGCAGATTTGACTCTATCAATAATGTCTTAATCTCATCATGCTTTGGCAACAAACTCCTGATGTTCAAATGTGCCCCAAATATACCCTTCGGTTTACTGTTTTTGTCCCATATAACTTTAGCGTGGTTCACTGTTGAAAAAATCCGTTGAGATGAGTGTTTACTCACTACTACTCCTGTTGTAGGTTTCTGTCCAGCTCCGTTCTGCTCTGTAGGGTTAGAAACCGCTCCAGTTGATATTAGTGGTGATGGTCTATCCCGGCTCCTCGTTTTTATTGAGGGGGAAAAAAAATATTCGGGCGTTGTCCTCTTGTGATGTGATTTCCCTCTCTTCGCACACTATTGGTGTGGCCCGCCGCTCTCCCGGTGACTCGCCTCCGGATGACACCTGCGTAGTCCAGCGGCCCATGGCGGCTGACCCTGCCTTTCTCACCGGTGCGGCCGCACCTCCAGCGCTCTCCACAGCCTCCCTCCTGGGCAACAGGACGCGACCCTCCCCGAGTTGCAATGCATCCATTTCAGGCATATTCAACATATCCACAGTAGTGTCGGAGCGGCGGGGCAAGATCAGCCCGAGTAAAGCCGGCTCAGACACAGGCGCTGTCACCGCCTCCATCGCCGGCGGCTCAGACGCGGCTGGACCTGGTCCCATCAGCTGCGAGATGTCGCCAATGACAGCCGGGCCGGGGTTGAGGTGAATATCCCCTGCTAACAGTATTAGCAAGGAAAGCAGTTTAATTATTTTTGTCCATTTAGTTGTGTTCTTCTTCTGGGTGTATGGAGTGTCCGGCTTTGTATTGCGTTCAAATCTTGCTTCATCGTAGTTCAGGATTGTTGTGAAAATGATAAAATGTCCATACTCAAACTTGTTTTGGCTGGAGGTAGGCCTAACCTGGAATCCTTCATACGACTCATGTTGTACTGTCTTAACTTTGACATACATGTGTGCAGTGGGGAGCAACAATAATCCAGCGCAAAACAAAAGTAGGGCATAACTCAATCGTTGTGCGCGCTGTTGAGAGATAAGCTTTGCATTGTTTTGGTGGCGTCCCTCGTGTCTTGCGCTCCCTCTTGTTTTAGGCGGTTGGATATTTTTCCAAAGGTCTGGAAGTTTAGGCACAAGGAGTGTATGGAGAAACACATAGAGTCCAAGCAAAACGGAGCCTGACAAACCGCATTGAAATTAACTAATCTGATGTTCACCAACATCATCTCTCTGCCAAACCGCCTCTTGCCAAACCGCCTCTTGCGCCATCTTCAGATCCAAAGTTCTCCTTCATCCATTTTGGCCTGTGAGTGGAGTTGCATAAAAGTGGAGTTGCATAAAATTAAAACTGAATTTATTGCACAACATTTTACTCATATCTACTAGATATGTATAAAACTATTCACAGTCTTAAATTAGAACAACTTTATTTTAGTGCATATTTTTATCTATGTCATCCAGGCGCTTCTTTAAGATTTTTTTTTTCACATTTTTCTTTACCCTTACTTAATTTTTAGATAAGATCAGGTAGCTTTAAAGGAGTCAAGTCATAGGGGTCCCAGATAGATTATTTTCCTTATATTGTCCAATCTAATTTCTGAACAGTGTAAACATGCTTTTCCTTTGGGTTGCCAGGTTTGCCAGGGTTTACCAGCATGTTTGGGAAGAAGAAGAAACGGCTGGAAATCTCCGCTCCGTCTAACTTTGAGCACCGGGTCCACACAGGCTTCGATCCACGGGAGCAGAAGTTCACCGGACTGCCACAGCAATGGCAGAGCTTGCTGGCCGACACTGCCAACCGGCCCAAGCCCATGGTGGACCCCTCCTACATCACTCCCATTCAGCTGGCGCCAATGAAGGTATAACACAAATTTGCAGATGGCATTTGGCTTGGGCGCTAAGGACAAGTCATTACCATGTCCACATCTGCTGTTGTCATCATTTGTCCTGCATTGTCTCTGTCTCCATTTATCTATATGTCACCTACTTTTGTCTTTATGCACTTTTCTTTTTGTTAAATGTTCTTTTTATAGTCTTGTTGTCTAGCTTACATTTTCTTCTCCCTGCTTCTCTTCCCACCTGTTACTCCCCCTTTAGAGAAGAAAGGATTATAATCCATACAATTTGTCCACAATAACCCCTCAAAAATCTAAAATTATGGCAGCGTTTTGACTATTTTGATGCATTAAACTCTCACAAAGACATTATATGTGCGATAATGTATGACAGAGTGTGCCGAATTCATAGAAACTAAATAAAAACATTGATTACGAAATGCAGGAAAATTTCATTAAGTAAAACCATTTTATAATTTATAACAAGGTTTTGGTTATAGAGTTGTTCTTAATTTATAAATAATTGAAAGAGTTCACACCTTAGTTTAATATAAAATCCGGATAAATGCAAAAACGTTGGCCTAATCATTTTCAAGTTTGATAAATCACTTTAAGGAAGATATTTTAAATGCATATCCATAACTTATAACGCTGCTTTGTTTGGTCATTAGAATATGAGCTGCATATTTATACAAGTTTTGCAACTTGTATGAAGATCAGCTTTGCATATGCAAACAGTTTGCACATGTTTTAATACAAGGAAACCTTCTGAAGATCAGGCCTTAAATTTAGGAAATTTCAGGTCATTGCACTGATAGAAAATGTGTGATGTTTTAGAAATTCTTTTCAAAATTCTGTTCAAAATGTTAATGAGGTTTGCCATTACAGAGCCTTGCAAAAGACATACTTTTGAAATTTGATCAAAGTTCATAACATGCAGAACAAACAATCTTTGGGTTGTGCATGTGTCAACCAGCCATGCACATCAAGACACAACGTAAACATCAGTTTTGTTTGGTCACAGATTCTCATTTTCAGTATGATTTGGACTTAAATTTGGACATTCAAGAACTGCATGTATTTTTAACAGGTTTGATCTCTTAACCTTTTAATCCTGAAAAATATAAAAATAGATTCCCATTGCATAATACTGCCACCACCATGTCTCACCATGGGGATAGGGAGATCAATGAGTAGTGAGTAGTGTTAGTATTTCATCAGTCACAGCATTATGCAGTCAACTCTAAAAGTAAAAATTTTAACATGTATTTATTTTATGAAGGGGACTTTTTTGTGTTTTTCTTCTTGCCATTCTTCCTTAAACATTGCATTTAAAGAGTGTGCGACTTTAAGTTGTTCATTCAATTGTTTGAACAAAGCTCTATGAGATATCCAAAGCTTGTAATTTTGGTATGTAATTTAACACCAGTTCAAATGGCACAGAACCTCTCAGGGTGTTTATAGAGCTATTTGTTCAGTAAGGCTCTCTGATAAACCTCCCATATGATTGCTGAAGAGCTTTACATTGAGATTATATCAGGTGACTTCTGAAGACAAATGGTTTGATTAGATATTTTTTAAATGGTGTAAAAAACCTAAAATGCTTTCTTGAATCATTTGGGATTAAAGATCTTCTTTTGCTCTTTAACCAAAATCCCAGTAATATCAACTCTATGATGTTAATCTCTCTAATTTGAATTTTGCAAGGCACTATGAATGGCAGACAATATGGCACTGATTCTAGTATCACTTTAATTGCAAAATATGATGCATACAGTTGGTAACTAAGTTACATTATTTGTATATTAATCCATTTAATGTTTTACGCTGCTTCACCTGTTACCATTTTGCATGCTGGTGTTGCTTTTTTGTCTCTATGTCCTGTCAATGTGTGTTTCCTGTTCTCTCTCCGAGTGTCTCCTCTGATGTGTTGTTGTTCGTCCGTTCTTCTTAACACCTCACTTTGACATGTCCGATCCATTGAAACAGTCAGGAACTCTTTAAACCACCTTACACATGTGAAGATTTCTCTTGTATTTTCAGTCATTTACAACAGAACAATATTTTGTTGTTTAAGTGAGTCAGTTTCTCTGTTGTGTCTTTAAAACAATTGTATCTCCATTGCTTAGAGCCTCTTTAAACAAATAATCTATTAGTCCCCGAGGAACCACTTTCAGGTCCTCCTGTCAAGAAAACCTGAAGGTTTGGTCAAATTTGGTAACGGGGAACAGCAATATGCCACAGGAGATATCTCTGAAGAGGGGGAAACAAGAAAATAATTCTCTTGCTCTCTTCACAGATATCTCCCCAGAAAGTCCGGTCGTCAGAAACGCCGTTGCCCAAAGTATGACCTCCTCTTTCCTTTCTGTTTTCAACCCCCCTTCCTCTTTTTATTTTATATTTTTCTCTCCCAACGGTCACTCTCACACAATCCTGACTCAGCCGTTTCGTTTCCACATCCCTCCCCTGCTGCCTACTGCCATACGTTTTCAGGTGGAGGTGGTATGTCAGTGGGGACAGGGGAGGGGGGGAACAAAGAATGGCTCCACACATGACATAGCTGCATCGCTGTGCCGAGTCTTTTCTCAAAAAAATCATCTCCACTCTTCCTGTGTTGTCTCTCGCATGAACCTCCCTAGAAAGATAAGACTAACTCTAGCGGCATGCTACCTTTGTTTTCCCAATTGCTGCAGAGCACCATTGAAAATGATGATGAAGATAATCATGATGATGATAATGATGGTTGCTGTGATGTGAAGAGCATGTTGTCATGGCAGCTGATTCTGCTCCGATGGAGGCCAGTGCTCTGTAGAAAATGGGTCACGAAGGGTTTGCATGCGTTTGAGGAACCCTTCGTCTCATATCTTCTTTGAACTGCAACTGCTCAAGCTTGGGATAGAGGCACTTTTCCTGTCCTCTTCTTTCCTCTCCTTTTTAACATAGATTTCAACCTAATCTAACTACAATTTCAACTTCTTTAGAAAGTAGCAGACAAGATTGAACAGTTTACATTATGTTCTCTGCTAATTCTGCTTTTGGACGTTTGCATTTTTCACTTGTCACGGTTTAGATTTGAGAATATGCTCTACGGACTGCTTTAGGAAATGTTAGTTTTAACATTAGAATATCCTGACTGAAGACAGTGGGAGGCTGGGTACATAATAGTAAGATATATCAGACTGAAAAAGTTATGGTTTCAAAATATAACTTCTTCAGCGCCGCTGCATATATAAGCATGTAGCCTATTTTCCTGTTGTTACTTCAGGTCAGAATTTCCTGCTCTGTTTCTGGGGATGTGACGTCAAGCACTTCCATGTTGAATTAGTCCAATCCAGCAAACAATCTAAGCATTCTATTCAAGATGGTTTCTGTGGATATTAAGAAGCAACCGGCATCTAGCTCAACTCAAACAACAATGGTACCTCCATGTAAGATGTAACAAGTTAAAAAGAAAACTGTCAAGTACAAGCGAGAGCTACGAGAACAAGTTCTGTGTTTTGACTACAGGTGGCAGTATCATTAGAAAACTCTGTAATGCCTCTTCTTTTTTTTTGAGGTTTTTAGCAGCATTAGTGGCTCATTATTTTGTACAGTGGGCTGCCAGGAAAGGGGATACAACAGAGGGGGACAGACATGCGGCAAAGGACAACAGGTTGTATTTAAACCCGGGTCAGCCACATCGAGGACTAAGGCCTCCGTACATGGGTCATGCTCGCTAACCACTGCTCCACCAAAGCACGCTTTTGTAATACCTCTTCTCTGTCTGTCTGTTTGAGTTGTTGGGAAACAGGTGTACTTGTAAAATATTTAGAAAGTCTTGGTCAGCAAAATAGAATTATAGGTATTTTAAAGGTTTCATAAAGTCTAAGTAATATTAGACTAGACCAGCAAAGAAAAAAAACTAGTAAAAAAAAAAGGTGGAGGATGCAGTGTTAAAGAACTTAGTAATGATCATATAATTCAGGAGATGTTCTGTCATATTATGCATCGAACTTTGTGGTTTGGGAGCTTATATCATGTAAAATTAACTTTTTTAAGCTCTTGACTGTTATTATGCCATTTCTTCATGTAATTCATGCCTTAAGGTGGTAATTTGCTTTATTTGTTCATGTCTCAGTAATTCTTATAAATTCTACTCTCCGATTAGTGGTGAGTCCCTGTCCTGGAAAATTACACCCTCCACAAAGGGAGCCATAGGGGTGCAGTATGCAAAGAATACGTCTTGCAGCTGTAAGTCTCGAACCCCAGCTCTCTCAGCCGTCGTGTCTATTGGTAACACACTCGTCTAATGATGGTGGCAGCCTGGCTTCTGTCAGTGTGCCTCAAGCTAACAAATGAATACTTCTTTTATCATATATATAGCTATAGTTGACTTTGGATGGCTTCAAAAAGCATGATATGGAATCTGTAATCCATTTTAATCATCTTTTACTTCTTCGTGGTAATTTGGTTGATCGTATGTTAGGTATACTGCACTACAGTGCCCCCCACAAATACTGGTAGTATTGCTCTGCTTGTTGCATTTGGCTTTGCATCTGTTAGCTCCCTGGTGACAGAATAAATTATGCAAGAAATTAATGCAGAAGACAGAGGAAAGCCTCTGTGGGTATGCTTCTGTTTACATGTGAGCATAAACAGTCCTTTACTCATCAGATCAGTTAATGAGTTACTTAGAGTTTGAAATTGTTATGAAAGTCAATTTGATTCTTTTATGGCTCTTTTGCTAAGCTTAAACTGTTCATAATTTATTGATGGTTAGCAGTTTCTCCAACAGCTCCCAGATTAATCAGTTACCAGTTTATCAGACTTGAGTTGCTATAGCATTTATGTAGCATTTATTTCTTATATTAAAATAATCAGTATTTAACAAGAATTTGTATAACTGATGCTTTTCTGTTTAAATGTAAGGATTTTGGAGATATTACTATTATTATTTATTTATTATTATTATTTTTATAGTGTTCTATCTGACAATGTGGCATTAAGAATTGTTGTCTTAATACCAGAAAGAGCCCAACTGATTTTACTCTCGCAAGTGGAGCTTTATGGCCTTAACCATAGTGCTCTGCTTGATTTATATTTGTAAATAGTTTTATTATGATTTATATAGGGAATGATTCATGTTATGTTGACACTACATTGAGAAAGTAGAGGAAGAGAGAGAAATGAAAAGAAAAAATAGGGAGAAAAGATAGAGAGATTGACAAAACTTCATCAGTCTGCTTCATCACCTGCAAAGAGATATGTAAAATGAACCACACAACCAACAATACAGCAGCACGTTGATACCGTCACTGAAGTATATACAGTATAAATCAATATGAAATGTATAAGGTGGTAGCTGAAGATAAAAAAAATGGTAAGTTAGTAAGTGGATCCAAGCACCTGTAGGTATTTGTGAGAGCGTGCTAATGTATGAGAGGTTTATCCATGGGAAAATGCTCATTAGTGGTTGTGAAAAGCTATTACACCTTTCTGTTATTGAGGTAGGCAAAACTATGAAAATCAGATGTGGTCATGGTTATAACAGTTTTAGAATCTCATACCTGTTGAATTCTAAGGCTACGTTCAGACTGCAGACAAATGTGGCCCAAGTCAGATTTTCTTGCCCTGAACATGTAATCTGGCTTTTTCAAATGCCATCTGGGCCACATTTGTATTTAGTTTTAAATCCAATACAGGTCTGATCTTTAGGTATGTGACTGAACAGCCAAGTGACCCATATCAAAATTAGTATGACAGCGCGGGGGTGGGGTGGGGGGTCTAGTACAGCAAATATGAACATTGTAGACAGAGGTGTACAGTGGAGGGATAACAAAAGTTAGGCCATTCCACATTGTCTGTTGTATCATCTGACTACTTCCACTTCTTTAAATCCATCCATAGAGAGTACTTTCAGATTCTAAGAGTCTAAGAGCCGCCCCATTTAAAGGGATGTCTGATAAAAATGAATAAATAATTTAACTTTGTTGATCTCAAATGTACCTTTGCATTTAACCCATCCCCTTGGGGAACAGTGGGCTGCCACTGTGTGGACCTGCAGACCAGTGTGGGGTTAAGGATCTTGCTCAGGGAGCCAGAGCGCAGGATGTAGGGATCGAATTGGGTACTTGCAACCCTCTCAGAGCACAATCGTACTGCTCTAACTACTAGGCCATGTGAGTTGAGTATTAAGACCTCATATCAAAGCATTTTTTTAAAAAGCTTACATTCAAATTGTTCCCTCTTACTCCTGATTGTGTTTCAAACCAATTGCACAAGACATGCTAATCGTTGAGTAGATTTAAATTGCCTGCAAGCAGTGTGTTAAAAGAAAGAAAGGCTTGGTCAGCAGAAAAAAAGATTATTATTTTACCTGCTGCTGGGTTTGCCAAAGGAAATGTTGCTGAGTAGTAACACATTTTGACTATCCCTTTGGGCTGCCGTGTAATTTATTTCATAGTATAATTGCAAAACAAGAGAATAATGAATTTCTATTCACAGAAAGAGTCAAGCAATACATAATCTTCTGTTTAATGTCTTCAGGTTGGATTTTATTTGCTTGGCTTTTCACAGTGACACATGGGAAATGTGGGTCAGTTTGCTTGCACATTAAATCCACTGCTACTACATTATCTGTCAGGAAAAGATAACTGTGACCTATAACAGAAGTATGGGTCAAAGTACAACTTTAAAGAAGGGATATTTTCATGCTATTGGAGTTACAATTTTTGACGTGTTTTTCAAGATTTGTCCAAAGTCGTATTAATGATTTTATGTGTATATTCAAAGACAGCGTTTCAGGAAATAAATGTAAGTTGTTATCCATCTAGTTGATTTTTTTTTTTTGTGTGTAAGATCCACACTTCCTAGATAGGCTCAGTTATTTATAGAGTTCAACCCATGGCTCAATATCTTGCTGCTTGCTGTGACACTTAATTGACATGTAGTTTGTTGTTCATGGCAGACACCGCCAGCTCTCCCTGCTAAGGCTGTACGGGTGTGTGTTAGTGTTTATGTAACCACCAGGTGGGCGTGAATAATATGGCCAACAGTCTGACAGGCCTCAGGAGCCGTCTTCATTCAAACTGGGTGGTGTAAAGGGCTGACGTATTGAATGTGAAGGTTTACCTGTCGGACTGCAGTCTGGCTGCAAGTATTTAAAGAGGTCAGCGGTCTTTATCCTGAAGGCTGTTGGCCTTGGACTCATTCCCTCATTATTTATTCACAAATTTTTTTTTCATTCTGTTCCTAGACTGCTAACCTCTCCAGAGCATTTGTATTGCTTAAAGGTTTTACTCTCAATTAATGCAGCATCAGCCTATAGCATATGTGTTAAATTGGATCTCTTGGTCGACTCAATGC